TTTGTGTGTGTTCGACGTGACGAAATAAAAATAGCTATGAACGAATCAGCTGTTATCGTCTTTCAAAGAAGTAATTGCCTGTTAGGTCTACAACAAGACTTCCAGTATTGGCTGTGCGTAGCAGCTATATAAGGATACTTATGACTATAGCTTCGGCAGCGTCACTGAAGCCAAAATTTGAATTAAGATTAAGGGTGAAACTGGTGAGAAGATTATCATCCCGTTTTTTCGACAAAATCGTTTCAGATACATGTAAAATGCCAATCAACAATACTACGGTACCAACATTTATTTGGATAATTTCATCCTCTTAGCTTCTTGGCCGTTTCTGCCCGTTTGTTCGTTTCATTCCCTTGCTCCTCGCTTTGCTGTGGTATTTTATATGTAATCAATTGATAGTCCAAGTGATTCTGATAGTGTTCATAAATTTTAATAACACTGCGCAGGCTAGACGTTAAGCTTTTGATATTACCGATATGATGGCCAGCAGTCAGTAGAACCATTCCCGTGTTTCTTCTAGGCTGTTCTAGAGAGGTCAGCTATGCTCAGTTCCACTTGACTGCAACATATGCCTCGCATTTCCGGATGATTCTTCGAGCAGTTACTTCCTTTCTTATAGCGCCACTCATTAATGCGTGGTGTTTCACGGTTGTTAGTAAAATGTATGAACTGCCATCTTCTTTCGTTGCGTTCAAGCCACTTTTCTAGCTTGCAAATTACCATCGCGAGAAATGCTGTGGTGAAAATTTTAATGATAACAGATCACCTCTCCTCAAGTGATCGGTGCAGTGTGCAGAGTTAGATCAGCTTAATAACTCATTCCGGTTTGCTGGACTGTTACGAACAAAGTTCTTGTTAGTTTTCCTCTTGTCGACTGCAACACCAAACAGAACTCATCCCTTGTTATCTGCATGAGGTAGCTGTGAAATACTTCACGAATTCGTGAAATTTATAGGATTCAACACGGAAGCCACGGCAAGGATATTTTGGAAACTGATGACTCGCTTGGGATTCTCGAGGTTTCTTCTGCAAGGTGGCGACTGGGGCTCTCCTATAACAACAAGCATCGCGCTGTATTTTCCTCAACAGTTAGCTCATGTTTTTTATGCCTCCGCTTCAAAGTCTCTTTCGTTTTTGTTGTATACCAAATTGCGAATGGAAAATCTACTCTCTCTAAATTCAAAAGTTATTCGATTTTCGATTCTATTTGTCTCTCGTTCTTTTGCGCAACGGTGGTACGATAGCAGGCTATGGCCTTTGTGCTCACTTATAAAACGGAAAACGTCTCCAATTGTAAAGAAAACGCTGAAACATATCGTGGAAGTACTTCACAAAGTCAGCGAGGCACCAAAGATATAGACGGCCAGTGCACAGTCCGGTGTTACCTGTGCTAGTAATAGTATTAGTGACAGTGTTCCTATGTTCGGTATTTGTTTCCGTGTTAGTAATAGTATAAGTAAAATAATGAACTGCAGTGTGATCGGTTTGCATCTGAATATGGCCATGGCGATCAGCTGGAAAGCAATGCTCTATCAGTTGGTTGGTTTGGTGTTACCTAAGTTGGCTTTTTCATCCGAGACGTTCCACCACTTCAGTCCAAGCACTTACTTTATGGATGTTTTACAAGAGACTGGTTATCTACATATTCAGGCTACGAAGCCGGATACAGTCGGTATGTTTTTGGGATGTTTAAATGCACTCCGACCTCAGCTGATTCCTGCTTTTCCGTGACTCAGAAGAGCCTCATGAAAGTACACCGAGGATGGGTTTATTTCAGCTCCTCGTTTCTGCTCTCCAGGCCAAACCAGACCTCAGTTTTTATGCGTTTTGTGCTGTGTAACAGCAGTACAAAACGCATATTGTTACGGGGTTGTCT